CAAGTCCATAGGAAATCCAGATTCACTTAACAAGATTGTAAAATGGGGCAAAACTCAACAACTGTCTTACTTAGCAACAAAAATTGGGGGCTCAGTCACGGTTGTAAGTCAAGGATCACCTGCACGTGCACAGCTTGCTTTTACTGTTCAATTAACACGTATTTTCTTCCTAGGAGGTGAAAAATATAAAACATGGGATTTTTTTTTAAAAAAAATTTTGGGCAAAGAGCTCCTCCAATCATCACACAACTAGCCTTAGAATTATTATTTTTTAATTATTATTTTTTAACTATTCAGCCTTTCCTTGGTAAACACAACCAGATCACGTGTGTCTCTCTCTGTGTGCGTGCTTGGCAAAAACCTTTTCCTGGGTCTGCAAGAATTCACGGTATGCCAGTGCCCTTGAAGATCTCTTCAGTTAGCACACCATAAAGGTATGCAAGGCACACACACACACACATAAGAAGATTCCATTTTATTCCTAGTGGTCTTGTGAAGTCGAGCCTCTAAAGCAGGAAGTGACTTTTGGCAGTCCAGAGCCAAAGTAAGCAAATCCTTTGCTTTTAAAGGGCCTTATGTACACACACCGCTTTGTGTCCTACAGGACATTAGGGACTTAATTCTGTGTCCTTATTTCTGGCATGTTTAGATACAGGAGAGTTAAAAATGTCAACGCTAAGTCATAGATTAGAGGCAGACAAGCCCGCTGGTGCTCCTTTTATTATTTTCCTTGCAGAAACCAGCAGATAAAAGAACAGTGGGAAAACATTCCTAGCTAAGAGAGAAAGAGTGGGGAGAACCAGCCTGGTCCAAAGCAGGGGTCCCTAACACCCCCGTCCGTGGACCGGTACCGGACCATGGTAAGCCAACAATGGGGGGCCGCACAAAGCAAAGCCCCATCCGTGGGATGCACGCAGCACACAAAACCACGCAGTCTCCGGTCCGTGGAAAAACGTCCTCTCTCTACGGAACCGATCCCGGTGCCCAAAAGGTCTAGTAGTGGTTAAGGCAGCTAGAAAGCAAGAGGCCATGAGTTCAAGTCCTGCCATAGGCATGAAAGCCAGCTGGGTGACTTTGACCCAACTCACCTCGGGGAAACGAGGAGGTGGTGGTGGTAGAGGAGGAAGGATTTATGAGCTATGTTTTGCTGCCTTGAGTTATTGGTAGAAATAATAAAAAGGAGGGATAAAACATTTTTTTTTTAAAAAAAATAAATCTTTGCCTTTGGCGTGCTTACACAGCTGACTTTTGGAGACACCTCTGCTGAGTAGTTTTGAAGAAGCAGAAACAGCAAGATGTCACCTAGTCAGTGTGTAAGACGGAAATACAGGAGGTCCTCGGCTTACAACTACAAAATTTCCGTTGCTAAGCGAGACAGCTGTTAAAGTGAGTTTTGCTCCATTTTAGCACTTTTCTGCCACAATTATTAAGGGGATCGCTGCAGTTGTTCAATTAGTAACGTGGTTACTAATGGCTTCCCCATTGACTTTGCTGGCCAAAACCTTGCAAAAAGGGATCACGTGACCCCGGGACACTGCAACTGTCTTAAGTACATGCCAGTTGCCAAGCTTTCAAATGTTGGACGCATGACCCCGGGGATGCTGCAATGGTCGTAAAGTGTGAAAAACAGTCACTGGTCCCTTTTTTCAGCGCCACTGTAAGCTCTGAACGGTCACTGAATGAACTGCTGTAAGTTGAGGACTACGTGTAACATGCCCTCACTCAACCATTCATTTCTTCTCCAATTAGAAAACAACGACAGCTCTAAGGATGAATTGTAAAGATGGTTATTATTTAAAAATTGGCCAGCTTTAAGGATAATGAACCAGCTTTAAAAAGCTACTTTCACACTTTAAAAAGAAGCTAATTTCACACAGTTCTCCCTCTCTGTACACACACACACACACACAGAGTAAAAATTGCAGCTTTCCTGGCCTGATAACAGAATGAATATCCACTTCTCAAGATATCCATCCTTCTACATTTACTTTGTCTTCCAATCTGGCCCAAAGCAATTCACGTGACCCACTAAGGACACTTAAGAATTTTAAAAATGTTTTCCTTATCCTGTCTCATCCCTCGTCTATTGTCCATTTCCATAAAACCAGACAGAGAAATGGATTAGTCCAGGGTTTCTCAACTCTTAACAGCTTTAAGATGTGTGGACATCAATTCCCAGAATTGAATTGAATTCTGGGAATTGAAGTCCACCCATCTTACAACTGCCAAGGCTGAGAAACACAGGGTTACTCCACACAATTCCCAAACCCACAATGCCACAATGGGAATAGCCACTTTGGGTCCGACTGGAAAACTTTCCTTTTCAACAAGAGACTGCCTTCCAAGTTCAAAGTTAACTCCGGAGTGTAAATCCCAAAATGTGTTTTTTTTTTTTTTTGCAGTTTTCCAGACATCCCGTCTTGATTTTATATGTGACGCTTGGTCTCTACGGTAAATGTATCCATACAATCATACTACGTAACGCAATGATTCTGCAAGCCCCTGTGGAGTAAATACAAAGGAGGCTTGCTTTCACACGCACGTGGAATTATTCACCCTTAATCAACACAACAGCTGAAATTTGGTCCAACCCCGAATGGTTTTTCACTCCTCCGAGCTCTTTCCGCAAAATGAAGATGATGGTTACCCAGTTATAAGCTAGAACAGTCAAGAAAACCACAGGTGAAGCATCCCTAGCCTCCATTGTGTGTAACTCAAAAGATGGTGAGATGGTAAGGCTTCCATTCCAGAGGGCAACTATCCCCCACACAAATGGCCCAGCTTCACACAGCATCCAAATCGTGTCCGAAGAAGCCACCAAGGGATGATGGCGTAGGAACGTTTCCCAAGCCAATCCATCCATCCTACAGGCTTGGCCCTACCTGTCACTCTTGCCTCGCCAACATATAAACAAAGAGAGTTTTGTCCAGTGGTTAAGGCACCAGGTTAGAAAGCGGGAGAACCCGCGTTCGAGTCTTGCCTTAGACATCAAAGCTAGTTGGGTGACTGGTCTCATCCCCCAGCTTGGCGGCCCGACCCCGGAGCGCAGGAGATGTTTATGAATGGCAGGCGCACGTGTGCACGCAAAGCTCCATTTGTGCATGCAGCACACGCGTGCACGCTCTCCGCTCATGAGAGCCGCACGCACTTGCGCTCTCTCGCATGAACATAGGGCATTTGTGCGTGAAGCTCCACACGCGCAAGTGGGCCTGGGCCTGCGCCTTTGCCCATTTCTCCTGCGGCCAGGTTTCAAATAGGATCTGGAGCAGCGGTTTTCAACCTGTGGGTCGGGACCCCATTTGGGGTCGAACGACCATTTCACAGGGGTCGCCAAACAACGCAGTCCGCCATTTCCCCCCCCCCTTTTCCTTAGCTGTGCTCCTCCCTTTTATTCTATTGGCTTTTGAAAGCCAATAGAATAGACTCTCTTGAATAGTGTCTAATTCTATTGGCTTTCGAAAGCCAATAGGAATTGTCCAGGCTGTCTCTGCCCTGCTGAGCCCACCAAAAGTCCCATTCTGCAAACGGTGCTGCACCAGTTGAGTAGTCCTCAACTTACAACCGGTTGAGTAGTCCTCTACTTATGACCGGTTGGGGTCACGGCAAAAAGGTTGAGAACCACTGCTATAGACGCATGCACACAGACACAGACACATATATCCAGCCTTGTTTTTACAAATATAACTCAAAGCTTTGCGCACATTGAGCGCTCCTTCTTCCTCCGACTTTCCCCACAACAACCCCGATTATTTTTAAAAAATAACTAAAAGCTTTGAGCAAATGAACGGTCCTTCCTCCTCTTACTTTCCCCACAACATACATACATATATTTGGGTATGCGTATATGTATATGTCTGTTTGTGTAGAATATATATACACGCACACATATTGGTGAGTATATACGCATGTATATATGTGTATAGACATACAGACATATACACAATTTGTACGTGTATATATATATATATATATATACACAAAACACACATATGCAAAATACACATACACACACATATATATGTGTGTGTGTTTGTATATGTATGTATGTATGTATGTATATAAATATACATACATATATATATATATATAAAATGAAATTTAGTTGCTTCCTCTCTCTCCAAGTGTACACATACATAACACACATTTAAAATATACTATATACACTATATTTGGGTGTGTGTGTGTGTGTGTATATATATATACACATACATACATATACATACACATACATTCGTGTGTGTGTGTATATATATATGTGTGTGTGTGTGTATGTATACACACACAAACATATTTTTGTGTGTATGTGTATATAAACACACATACATACTCACATATATTTGTGTATGTGTATATATATATATATATACACACACACATAAGACATACAGACCTATATATTTGTGTGTATATAAACACATACACATATAGACATACACACCCACATACATTTGTGTGTGCATGTGTGTATATAGACATACACACCCATGTGTGTGTATATATATATATATATGCATACACATATAGACATACACACCCATACATTTGTGTGTGCATGTGTGTATAGACATACACACCTATATATTTTATATATATGCACATACACATATAGACATACACATCCACATGTGTGTGCATGTATGCAGACATACTCATATATATTTGTGTGTGTGTATATGCACATACACACCCACACACATTTGTGTGTGCGCGTGTCTATAGACATACACACCCATATATATTTGTGTGTGTGTGTATACACATATAGACATACACACCCATACATTTGTTTGTGTGCATGTGTGTGTATACACAGAGACGTACACATACTTATACACGTATGTGTATGTGTATACAGAAGACCCCCTCCCAGCCCAGGGCGGAAGCTTTGAGTTATATTTGCACGTGGGGGGTGGAAGCGGAGCCCCCGGGAGGGCCGAGCGCCCCCCGCCCTCCCCTCCCCTTCCCCACGAGGCCCCGGCCGAGCCCCCGGCCCCGCTCACCAGGCGGGCGGCCTCGGCCCACGTGCGCTCCTTCTTCCTCCGCTGCTTCAGCTCCTTCATCTTCGTCTTCTTCCTCCTCCTCCTCCTCTGGGCGGGAGAGCTGACCGGGCGGGCGAGCGGGCGCGCGCACGTGAGGGAGCGGGGGGGGGCGGCAGAGGCTCCCGAGCAGGCCGCGGGCGGCGGCGGGAGCGCGCCTGGAGCGCGGAGGCGACCGTTACTCGGGCGGGGCTGGAGGCGAGCGCGGGCTTCGCGGTGGGGGCAGGAGGAGGAGGAGGAAGCGGCGGGGGGGGGCTGTGGGCGCGCGCGCAACCCCGGGCGGCTGAGGTTGCGGGTGGGGGGAAGGTGAAAGAAGAAGAAGAAAAAAAAAAGACGGCGGCTGAGGAGGCGACGGGCGCGCGCGTCAAGGAATGCGGCGGCGGCGGCGGAGGAGGCCCGACATAACAACCGGACGGAGAGGGTCAAAGGTCTCCGCAAGGGCGGGCGGGAAAACGAGGAAGAGGAAGAGAGAGAGAGAGAGAGAGAGAGGGGAAAAAAAAACGCCCGAGGAGGAGGAGGAGGGGCGGATGGCGCTCGCGCACTCGCTCGCTCGCTGGCTGGCCTGAGGAGAGCCTGCGTGACGGAGACGCGCTAGGCCCGAACGGTGGCCGCGGAGGGACAGCCCGCCCCGATCTGAGAGGCGCGCGCGCGTTCGAGCGAGCGAGGGAGGGAGGGAAGACAGCGTTCGAAGGCCAGCCAGCTAACCGCGCGGGGCACGACGGGAGTTGCAGTCCCGGAAAGGGAGAGGGAGGGGGCCGCTCCCAGAATGCTCCGCGAAGAAGATGATCGTGATGATGCGGGCTCTGGGGCGGCGTTGGCCCCGCCCTCATGCCGCGGAGCATGACGGGTAGAGCGACCGGCCTTGTAGGCCTGACAGGCGGCGGCGGCTGCAGGGGCAGGTCGCTTCGGAGGATGGCGGGGATAACCCCCGCCCGGCCTGCGACTTCTCGCCGGGCATATTTTCAAAAAGAGACCCGACAGCCACTTGTCTGAAATGGTCTACGCCAGGGGTCTTCAAACTTGGCCCTTTGATGACTGGTGGACTTCAACTCCCAGAATTCCTCAGTCAGGCACTCGTGCCTGGCTGAGGAATTCTGGGAGTTGAAGTCCACCAGTCATCAAGGCCAAGTTTGAAGACCCCTGGTTTAGGACTACATACCTGTATTACTTTCTTTATGAGGGAAAAAAAAGCAGAAATCTTACCCTTGTTCTACATTTACTAACAATTATCTCTCTTCCGGTCGTGGAGCCACAAAGTAGCCCACAAAAATCTGAACCAGGCCTCTGTCTACTCTTTTTTTCCAGAATGTTCCTTCAAGATTTCCTCAAAATACTCATACCTGAGATTTCCTCAAAATACTCATACCTGCTATATATTCTATAGCAGGAGCCTTCCAACTTGGCCCTTTGATGACTTGTGGACTTCAATTCCCAGAATTCCTCAGCCAGCGTGCCTAACTGAGGAATTCTGGGAGTTGAAGTCCACAAATCTTAAAAGGGCCAAGTTTGAAGACCCCTGGTATAGGGCTTCCTCCCTGAGCAGGGGTTTGGACTAGATGACCTCAAAAATCCCTATTATTGTGATTGTTAAAATAAAAGTGACCCCCTCCTTTGCACAGTAAACCAACCTCAAAAGATTTGTTTGGAGTTAGATAACCAAAGGCCAGTTGACACTAATCAACGTTTTCTTATCAGGAAATAGTATCCAGCTATCCTGTAACTTATGTTTTCCGTTTGGGGAGATTGAAAGCTATCCAAGGGTTTTATAAAACCTTTTTAAAAGAGAGAAAAGTAAGTCAAATCAAAACGTAAAGTAATGGTGTTCAAAATTGGAAGTAACATAGAAAATAACTCTGCAAGCTGACAAATTACAAAGTCCCTGTCATTTGCCCCTCAGGGTTAGGGAGTTCAGTTCCCATAATGCTGGCTGGGGGATTCTGGGAGTTGAAGTCCATCCATCTGACAAGTGGCCGAACACTAAAGTCAGCATCTACGGATGAAAATGGGCACAGGCTTGGATTTTTAGCGCCAGCAGTAACCTTGTGGGGGAGGGGGGTTATAGGTAGTCCTTGTTTAGCAACCACAACTGAGCCTGGCAGCTTGGTTGCTAAGTGAAGCAAAGCAGTTGCTAAGTAACATGGTGAGTTTTTACAATCTTTTGAGGCTTGCTTGATTGTGAGGATTCGTTGCACAATTACTTTTTCTTCGTGCTCATAACAGTGGCCAGTCATTAAACAAGGACTACCTGTGCTTAAAGCAATTAGACCAGTGGTTCTCAACCTGTGGGTCGGGACCCCATTTGGGGTCAAACGACCATTTCACGGGGGTCGCCAAACAACGCAGTCCTCCATTTTTCCCCCCTTTTCCTTAGCTGTGCTACTCCCTTTTATTCTATTGGCTTTTGAAAGCCAATAGAATAGACTCTCTTGAATAGAGTCTAATTCTATTGGCTTTCAAAAGCCAATAAGAATTGTCCAGGCTGTCTCTGCCCTGCTGAGCCCACCAAAAGCCCCAGTCTGCAAACGGTGCTGCACCAGTTGAGTAGTCCTCGACTTATGACCGGTTGAGTAGTCCTCGACTTACGACCGGTTGGGGGTCGCGGCATTAAGAAGGTTGAGAACCACTGAATTAGATCATGAAAAACCTGACTAAATTCTACCCTGCTTTGGAGACAGACCCCGGAGGAAGAACTGCAGGTTTACTTTGAAGGCCAGGGGTCTTCAAACTTGGCCCTTTTATGACTTGTGGCTTTCAGCTCCCAGAATTCCTCACCCAGTGTGCAACCCCAAGAAGGAAACATTGCTCGCAGGAAGCAATAGCACCTCTCATATCTCGTCCTTTGGATAATATTCCTGTGCGAGTCTCGCTGGAACCAAGGGAAGCTTATTCACTCCAGTGGGACTTACACACAGGTAAGGAGCCCAGTGCCTGGCTGAGGAATTCTGGGATTTGAAGTCGACAAGTCATGAAAAGGGCCAAGGTTGTAGGCAATAGCTGGATTTTGCTGGCTTTGCTGATGTGTTGGGAAAAGTCAAGGGAATTGATCTTGGTAAGAATGAGGAAAAAAGATTGGCAGGAGCACCTTGATGTGCAGAAGGTCACTCAGTGGTCAGCATATTAATACCAGCTCATGGCTGCTGGTACAACTCATTAAATTGGCGGGATGTAGGCAGTTCTCAATTTACAATCATTTGTTTAATGACTGTCTGAAGCAGGGGTCTTCAAACTTGGCCCTTTTATGACTTGTGGACTTCAACTCCCAGAATTCCTCAGCCAGCATGGCCCATATAAGCCAGGGGTCTTCAAACTTGGCCCTTTGATGACTTGTGGACTTCAACTCCCAGAATTCCTCAGCCAGCATGGCCCATATAAGCCAGGGGTCTTCAAACTTGGCCCTTTGATGACTTGTGGACTTCAACTCCCAGAATTCCTCAGCCAGCATGAACCATATAAGCCAGGGATCTTCAAACTTGGCCCTTTGATGACTTGTGGACTTCAACTCCCAGAATTCCTCAGCCAGCATGACCATATAAGCCAGGGGTCTTCAAACCTGGCCCTTTGATGACTTGTGGACTTCAACTCCCAGAATTCCTCAGCCAGGCACACGTGCCTGGCTGAGGAATTCTGGGAGTTGAAGTCCACAAGTCATCAAAGGGCCAAGTTTGAAGACCCCTGGTCTGAATTACGGCGTTGACAGGACCGGTTTGATGCAACCGTGGCAGCTTCCCCCTGGTAACGGGATCAAAATCCGGGCGCTTGGCAACTGCCCGTATTTTAAGACAGGTGTCCTCTCCCATCTGATCCCCTTTGGCAACTTTCCGACAAGCCCAGTCAATGGACGAAGCAAGATTCGCTTGATGACTGCATGATTCACTTAACAGCCGCAGTGACTCGCACAAAAGGTGGTAAAAATGGGGCAAAACTCAATTCACAGCCATCTTGCTTAGTAACGGGGCTCAGCTGCAACCGTTAAGTCAAGGACTACCCCTCTCCCCGTTTTGAGGGTGGCCCGTGGTCGTGGATGTTCATGCCACGTGAGCCTTTTTGGGCCAGCTATTCAAACGGGCATCGTTGCCTCGGCTTTGTGCGTTTACCGCTTTAAGCCGTGCGCAGTTTCCCCTTTTGGGTGCCGATACCGGTATATTATATGGTTCTGATTTGATCTGTTCCACTTGCATGCTTTTATCTCCCAAAAATCTTGATGATGATGATGATATTGGAAGGGACCTTGGAGGTCATCTAGTCCAACCCCCTGCTCAGGCAGGTATCCTTATACCAGTGATGGCGAACCTTTTAGAGCAGTGGTTCTCAACCTTTCTAATGCCGCAACCCCATAATACAGTTCCCTATGTTGTGGTGACCCCCAACCACTTATATATCACCGGGTGCCAGGGGCGTGGCGAAAGGGGAAAAAAATGGCGGACAGCCTTGTTTGGTGACCCCCGTGAAATGGTCATTCGACACCAAATGGGGTCCCGACCCACAGGTTGAGAACCACTGTTTTAGAGACTGAGTGCCCAAACTGCAACTCAAAACCCACTTATGCATCGTCGAGTGCCGGGTGGGTGTGGCCCATTGGGTGGGTGTGGCCCATTGGGTGGGTGTGGCCCATTGGGTGGGCATGGCCCATTGGGTGGGCGTGGCTGCGGTGAAAACGGCAGACTGGGTGGGACTAAAAAATTCAATCTATCAATTCCAACTTTGCAAGATCTTTTTTTTCCCCGTGAGAAGTTGAAATTGACTGAACCTTTTTTTTTTTTTTTGCACACAGCAGCAGAGGCCTAAAGCGAAAAGGTTTTATAAAACCTAGCTGAAGGCCTGGGACTGGGGCAATGGCGCAAGTGCCCACAAAGCGGGCTCTGAGTGCCGCCTCTGGCACCCGTGCCATAGGTTCGCCACCGCTGACCTATACCATTTCGGACAAATGGCTGTCCAGTCTCTTCTTAAAAACTTGGAGCATTCACCGCTTCTAGAGGCAGGTTGTTCCATTGATTAATTGTCCTCACTGTCAGGAAGTTTCTCCTTAGTTCCAGGTTGCTTCTCTCCTTGATGAGTTTTCCTCCGTTGCTTCTTGTCCTGCCTTCTGGTGCTTTGGAGAAGAGCTTGACTCCCTCTTCTTTGGGGCAGCCCCCGAGAGACTGGAAGGCTGCTATCATCTCCCCCCTCATCCTTCTCTTCCTTAGACTAGACATCCCCAATTCCAGCAACTGTTCCTTACATGTTTTAGCCTCCAGTCCCAATCCTCTTTGTTGCTCTTCTCTGTACTCTTTCTAGTGCAGCGGTTCTCAACCTGTGGGTCGGGACCCCATTTGGGGTCGAACGACCATTTCACGGGGGTCGCCAAACAACGCAGTCCGCCACTTTTTTTCCCCCTTTTCCTTAGCTGTGCTCCTCCCTTTTATTCTATTGGCTTTCAAAAGCCAATAGAATAGACTCTCTTGAATAGAGTCTAATTCTATCGGCTTTCAAAAGCCAATAGGAATTGTCCAGGCTGTCTCTGCCCTGCTGAGCCCCCCAAAAGTCCCAGTCTGCAAATGGTGCTGCAAGTTGTCTGCAGCGAAGGCGAGCTGTCTGGAAGCTTCCACCCCTCCCTGCTGAGCAACTACTAAAAGTGTAAGGAAAAGAGGGCCAGGGGTGGGAGGTGGGAGACCGGAGGGCGCAGGGAGGGTTGCTGGCGCACGTGGAGCCCGGCGGGTGCCTTACCTCCCTTGGGCTGGGCCAGCTGATGGCCCAGCTGGTGGTCGGCCTGTGCCGTCTCTGCCGCTTGCCAGCTACGCCTCGGCCGGCGCAGGGGGCGGCACCACGCATGCACAGCGCTCCCGGACAGGGAAAGTCCTCGACTTACGACCGGTTGGGTAGTCCTCGACTTATGACCGGTTGGGGGTCGCGGTGTTAAAAAGGTTGAGAACCACTGTTCTAGAGTCTCAACATCTTATTTCATCAGGCTATCCTATAAAGCTGGTCTGCATGTACGGTGTTAAATAAAGCATGGCAAAAACTCCAAGGAAATGTGTTCTTTTACAGACAATAAATCCAGATGGTTTTTATTATATTTTTGCAGGTGCACTTTTACATTCCTAGACGAGAGAGGCTATTACAGATAACAAGCTTTAAATCCATGGACAGAGAAAGAACTATTGACAGTGTTCTTTATGTACAGATAAAACAGTAGTCGGTTAGATGTAACCTCGGGAAGGAAACATTGCTTGCAGGAAACAGTAGCATCTCTCATATGGATAATATTCCTCGCTGGAACCAAGGGACGCTTATGCACTCCAGTGGGACTTACGCACAGGTCAGGAGCCCAGCGAATGAATTTCCCATAGGCCTTAACAGATCCTCTACTGCAGGACTTCAACTCCCAGAATTCCTCAGCCAGCATCGCAGGAATTCTGGGAGCTGAAGTTCGCAAGTCTTCAAAGTTGCCAGCATTGGGGACCCCTGCTCTATTGGTTGAGCGTAGTACCAAGGTTTCGTGTTCCTCGCCGGCGTGGGATACGAGGAGTCAATTCAACATATTTAGGGATAGCAAGTCAGGAAGGGCTGCCTTAAATAACAAGGCAATAGCGGACACCCCGGTTTATGAAAATGTTTCCAAAGGGGGTGTCAGCTTCAGAAAACGCTCGTTAAGAGGGCAGGACAGGAAAGGTGAAGACGGAGAAAAGTTTTTGGCGTGGGGAAAAGCAGGGGAAGTCAGAAACGCAGCCGGCCGTTAGGGAAACAGGTCAGTACTCCCACTTCTCTTTCTGCTGCATGCTTGCCAAGAAGGTGGATGACGCTCTGGACCGGCCTTGTTCTGCCTGCTCAACAGTGGAAAAGCAATAGGCTGGCGCCGGGCTTCATCTTTGCATACTTTTTATCATCTTTGGATTCGTCGCTGAGCTTCCACTTCTAAGTCAGTCCATTTTATTTATTTTGTTTTTAATTACAGAGGGAATTAGCCACAGCAAAATAGGGGTGGGTAGGCTGGGCAGAGTTTCTAAAAAGCCAAACCAGCTCACCAAATCAATGCCCCCCTGATCCGTGGCTGATCAGCTGCTCGCCAATCCAGAAACGTACTTGGCAAACTTAAAAGCAGAAGGTAACGTGGAGTGAGGCTGGGGTGTGTGTGTGTCTCCTGAGGCACCACGCCGGCAGAACGCCTCTTGGGGGGGGTCTCCTTCGAGAGGGTGCAAGACCCTGGAATACTTACGCCTCCTCCCCCCCCCCCCGAATAGAGAACACGTACCAAGGACCCTTACGCTTAAGAGTAATGTCCTGACGGACCCATGCAGACGTACACCCTTATACACAGTTGAAGAAAACACGGGCGTTAAAAACATGTCGGGGAAAAGAGCCGATGAGAATATATTCACAGTTACAACCGTCAATGTAAAAAAAAAAAAAGGGGGGGGGGAGACAACTGAACTTGCCACAACTGAACTTGCCATGTGCAACAAAGTTAAATACACAAACCGAACTATAAAACAATACAAAGGTGTTGGGGGGGTGGGGGGGCACAGTCTTCAGCTCTTGGACCCCCACCCCACTTTTTCAGCAGCATTCACTTTCCACCCCGTGCTCAGTAGCCTGCCTTACTAACTACTAGGAGCAAAAAAAGAGGACGGGAGTTGGAACCTGTCGACCCAGATATTTGTTGTCCACCCCCCTCCCTCTCAAGCGTGGCTCCGATTGGTAACGCTGCCATTGAGAGGAGAGCAGAAGACACCCCCCCCCAGAGGTTTAATTTCTCCTGGGAGGGGGGGAAACTGGAGATGAGAAGCTACAGTGGAAGACAAGGAAGCCTTGGGTCACAAACGCTCCCAGCTTGTAGAGGAGGAGATGGTGAGGAGAGGAAGGGGACAACTATGGGTGGACAACTGCTAGACCAGGTTGACCCTCCTGGTCTCCACGGCTGAGGTTCTCCAGGAAACCGATCCACCTGGAACCGTGTTTGGTGGTTCTTGTTTTTTTTTTAATTCGTCCTTGCAAACAAGCCAAGGATTGATGGAACTGCCTACCTTCTATTGCCAAAAAATAAAAATAAAAATAAAATGGAGAGCGGGTTCCCCTTTGGCGTTTTCGACCGAAAAGCTTCAGTGGTATGTTTCGGCCTCGCCTCTTTCGCAGTTTCAACCCGCCCCACAAAAGTGCCAGTCTTTCAATGGAAAGGGGAGAAGGGAGGAGGGGGGGGGGAGAAAAAAAGTCGGCATGGCTAGCAAAACAAACAAACAAACAAAAAAAAACCAAAACAAAACCCCAACCAAAAATCCTCTCGTCACTTCTCAACCTTGCTACCGGGCGTCATCGAGGTGACCGCTGGCCTTTGGCTCCGGGAATCGGAGAGCCAGGGGCGAGAAAAGGAAGCGGAAAAGGAAGAGAGAGAAGGCCACGGGGGGGGGCAATGGGGGGGAAGGAGACGCCCCCATCGCCGCCACCGCTCCCCGTGCTTCTCTGGGCTTCTAAGATGCGCTAAAGTAACTCATGCATTTCCGATTTGCTAACTAAAAGCTCGCTGCGCCTTCAACCCCGCAGCCCAAGGAGAAAAACCGTTCCTTCGCGGTAGGCCAGAGACCGCCCTGGGGAGCCTGACCCGCCAGATGCAGAAGAGGCTGCTGTTTCTTCTCAAAAAAGGCCGTCTTCTGGACTCGGGCCTCCTTTTTATAAGTCCTAACGCCTCATGGCTTCGTTACCTCGCCTCTGCATTTGACGGCAAAATGGGAGCCCTGCCCTCGGCAGGCGCGACCGGTTTTTACTTGGGGACCAGCCCGCGAGACTGGGGGTACAGCTGAGAGGTGGAGGCGCTGGACGGGGAGCTGCCCGACTTCCTTCCAGTTTTAGGCCTGCGGAATGCAAAATAAAGAGGAGACGCGTGACGAAAGGAGCCAACTTTCCAAACAAAACGTCATGACGGCGCGTTCACAGGTAGAAAAGACGACAAATCGTGATCTAAATCAGGGCTTTTCAACCAGTGGGACGGGTACCACCGGTGGTACATTGGCAGCTGGCAGGTGGTACGCGACCATCCTAGAAAAGGGGTAGTGGGGGAGGGGAATGAGCTGAACCGGTGGCAGCACCGCACAAGCCTGACCGAGAGACGGCTGGAGCTGCAGGGCTGTCAGGGCTCAGCGGAAGGGCCAGGATCAGTGCTGCTTTCCAGCTGATCGGTGCTTCTTCGGGGCTGTCAGGGCTCAGTGGAAACACCAGGATCAGCACCAGGCTCCAGCTGGAGCTTGGCACTGATCCTAGTGCTTCTGCTGAGCCCTGAAGAAGCACCAATCAGCTGGAAAGCAGCACTGATCCTGGAGCTTCCGCTGAGCCCAGAAGAAGCGCCGATCAGCTGGAATGTTGCAGCCTCTCCAGGGTCTTGTGATTTACATTCAGAGGCTTGGCAACTGATTCCTATTTATGACGGCCATAGTGTCCCAGGGTCATGTGAAGTGACCCAAACCTGCTGCAACCACCCAGCAGACGGGGGGGGGGAAATAAAAACCAAACACCCCCCACCCCACCCCCGCTGCCAATCCTCAACAGAAATGCTCACAACAATGAAAACCTCGGACAGGAGGAAGAGCACCGCCGGGCGGGCAGGCAGGGGTCTTGCTCGGCTGTGGCTTGGGGAGCACTTTTTTCAGGGCCACTGTCACTTCACTAAGTGAACTAAGCGAACTGTTGTAAGTCGAGGACTACGTGTACTTTATCACTTTTTTCCTTTTTTGGGGGGGGGATCATCAAGTTTTTGACCCCTTGCTAGGCGACTGGTGGTCCTCGGATATTGCCATAGCCTAAAAGTGGTACAATGGGTGAAAAGGTTGAAAAGCCCTGATCTAAATCAGAAACCGGGCCGCGCAAATACATTTATGTCTCAGTATTTCAGAAATGCCTGCATCTCTAGCAGATACTTTTTTTAAAAAACAAACAAACAGAAATCTCTTCCCCAGTTGAGGAGGCTGAAAAACCAGCCGATTCAGCCCTCCAACTTCTTAGACTCCCGAAAGAACACATTCCAGCTCACCGGGATTTCGATTTCTTCGACGTGCTCTCAAAAGTAGAGGCGTCCACTTGGATCTCATCTTCATCTTGCAGAGCGGCTTCAAGAGCTGCCTGGACTTTGGGGGCGATGGCCGGGCCCTCGTAATCCCGCGTGGTCCGACTGGGCATATCCAGTTCCAGCAGGACGATGTTTTCTGCCTAAATAGTCCAAATTCCAGGCAGAGCTGAATAACTTGATGATTTCAACAGGGTAATAATGTCTGGGTTTTTTTTAAATGTTGATTTTTTTTCCTAGGTTTTTTTTTTTAAATACCCTTTATTTTGGGTTTATTGTCGTCTTTGGTAAGCCACACCAAGATATAACAATGGGACGCTGTATGGCTCTCATAATTAAATATGAGGCAATTAATAAAGGCCACAGATTGGAGTTCCTGCAGGAAATCTTCTCAACTCATGGTTGGCACCTGATGGGAGTTAGATAAGAGTCCAGGGAATTTAAAGACGGTTGGAATTAGTCTGCTTTTGGCTACATAGGGATTCTAGGCTGATCCCTCTTTTAACTCCGCCCCCAGATTCTGCCACTCCTCCTATATCAATCCAGGAATACTGAAGGATGGAATGACCTGCCCTCTTTCCCCAGAGTGAGATCTGACACTCCGGAGATCTTCAAAGAGTAAGCAGTTTAAGGTTCTCAGCTAATTCTATTTTTCTACGAGACAGGTTGTCATAAGAATGGAATGGAGTGGAGTGGAGTAGAGAGTAGAACAGAACAGAACAGAACAGAATAGAAATACAGAATAGAATAGAATAGAAATACAGAATAGAATAGAATAGAATAGAATAGAATAGAAATACAGGACAGGACAGGACAGGATAGGATAGAATAGAAATACGGAACAGAATGGAATGGAATGGAATGGAATAGAATAGAATAGAATAGAATAGAATAGAATAGAATAGAATAGAATAGAATAGAATAGAATAGAATAGAATAGAATAGAAATACAGAAAGGAATGGAATGGAATGGAATGGAATGGAATAGAATAGAATAGAAATACAGAAAGGAATGGAATGGAATGGAATGGAATAGAATACAAATACAAAATAGAATGGAATGGAATAGAATAGAATAGAATAAAGATTATAGAATAGAATAGAATAGAATAGAATAGAATAGAATAGAAATACAGAAAGGAATGGAATTGAATGGAATGGAGTATAATAGAATAGAAATACAGAATAGAATGGAATGGAATGGAATAGAATAGAACTGGAAGATACCAGCCCCCTACTTAAGCAGGAGGACCTAGACCATTTCAGACAAGTGACTGAGACTTCTTGGGACTGCTGAAAGGAATTCTAAACCCATTTGCACCGCTCCGGTGACCCTGAGGACACAGATAAGCCTCAAGTGGCCTCAAGGACTCTCTAAAAGGAATGCAAATGACCAGCTGTCTGCAAGGAGTATAAATCCTTCCTTTCTCTACCATCCAGTCAGAACCTGAAGAAGCTTCTTGGATGAGAAGCGAAAAGTCTTCAAGGAAAAACAAGCAAGTCCAGTTGCCTCCTGAACAAAGCATCTTTGGGACAACCAGGATCCTGGATGACTTGGAATCTCCATAGACCCCCAAAGGGAAATCACACTATTTTTAATAGGACTCAAAGGCCTGTTTTAATACCGACTGCACATCTTTCTCAGATGTATTTAATTTTCATGACACTCCTTATTTTTATTCCCGATCTCCCCCACAAAACACAGTCTGAGCTCACCCTGTACCGAGCTTCCGGGCGGACCATCATGGACATTCTTGCGTGCTGACTCAGGGGCCTCTTGTATCCCACAGCGGAAACCGGCCTTCTCATCATCTGTTGGTTCCTGGAACAGGGAAGGGAGACAGCAAGTCAAATACACAATGCCCATCCTCCTGTATGAGGCAAAAGACTTAAATACTTTTAAGTGTAATGAAAATCTTAACTAGTAAGAAGGTTTCAAAGATTCTTCAAACAAGAATTGTAAACAGGATCTATACCAGTGGTTCTCAACCTTTTTAATGCCACGACCCCTAACTGGTCGTAAGTCAAGGACTACTCAACCGGTCGTAAGTCGAGGACTACTCAACTGGTGCAGCACCATTTGCAGAATGGGACTTTTGGCGGGCTCAGCAGGGCAGAGACAGCCTGGACAATTCCTATTGGCTTTGGAAAGCCAATAGAATAAGACTCTATTCAAGAGAGTCTATTCTATTGGCTTTCAAAAGCCCATAGAATAAAAGGGAGGAGCACAGCTAAGGAAAAGGGGGAAAAAAATGGCGGACTGCGTTGTTTGGTGACCCCCGTGAAATGGTCGTTCGACCCCAAATGGGGTCCCGACCCACAGGTGAAGAACCGCTGCTTTAAATGGTCACGAAGCGAAGTGTTGTGAGTCTGGAATCACCTGTTTGTGAACCTGGACATTGTTGTGATTCCTCGCCAGCCAGTGGACCCAGCAGCGAGTGTGAGGACTCAGAGGACTCAGAGGAGGAGGAGGGGCCCTGGCGTGACATCAGAGTCGGAGGAAGGCTCTGAGGAGCTCCAAGACTTACAGTCGGACGAGGAGCCTGGCCCCTCTACTCGCGCTCAGGCTGAGACCCAGCTGTGCTGGGAGCCTGAGTTGGACAGTGATGAAGAACAGCTGGGACAAATCCCGGATGCACGAATGCGCAGGCAAGAGAAGCGAGTAGGACAGAGGGATGCAATGGGGTGGCTGCAAAGGAAAAGGCATTAGGAAGCCACGCCTGGGCTGCATCATAAAAGGGAAGGTGTGGGAGGTGCTGGTGGCCGAAGGCAGCCATTTGTGTTTAGGCAGTGATGGCGAACCTTTTAGACACCAAGTGCCCAAACTGCAACCCAAACTCCACTTATGCATCGTCGGGTGCCAGATGGGCGTGGCCCACTGGGTGGGCGTGGCTGTGGACTATTGAGTGGGCATGGCCAGCTCGACACCACTCGTGTAAAGGGCACTTATGCGGACCTGGCCAGGACTGGGGCAGATCTGGGGGTCTGCGGCGGAGGGGGGATGAGACTGGGGCGAGGGTCGGGGTCATGGTCCACTGGAGGAGCCTCACTGATATTAAAGGGGGTGGGGGAGGAGATATTAAAGGGGGTGGGGGAAGAGATGATATTAAAGGGGGCGGGGGAAGAGATGATATTAAAGGGGGTGGAGGAAGACATGGTGCAGAGAGAAAGAGAGCAAGAGTGCAGGAGCACATGGAGAGGGGGCGGGGAGCAGCCTGGCCCCGCCTCCCTCTGGGGTGATGCCACACGTGCCCACAGGGACGGCTCTGTGTGCCACCTGTGGCACGCGTGCCATAGGTTCGCCACCCCTGTGTTAAGGAATTGAGTTTTTGTGAACTGTGTTTTGTTTGCCTTGTTTCTCCTGGTGAGCATAACCAGGACTCACGTCGGCTGGGGCAGAACAGACGTCTCCCTCAACCCTCCAAGGGAAAGAGGACTCACTCCAGTCGGGTGATGGGGTGAAGTTTCCACTGGTCCTCCTCCTCGTCAAAGAAGGATCTGTTCATGATCTTGTTCTTCTCTTCCAGAGGAATGAAGTTCTCAATGATCAAGTGCCTGGGTCAGATCGGGAAAGGAGAAAGTGAGAGACGGCGGCCTGGTGGGAACCCAGACGATGTCTTCCTTGCCGGACTACACTTCCCAGATGGACCACGTCAACAGTTCTTGTCTCTGGGGCAGCTGACAACCGTCCCGTTCCTTCCCTCCCACGTTCTGGACCTGGGGTGGGGTGGGAGTGGGAAGGATAGCCCTGTTATGGCTTGTAGACTTCCATCCCTGGGATTCTGGCTTCCCGGGCTGGCTCAGGAATTCTGGAGAGTTGTAGTCCACAAGGGATCAAGGAGCCGCCTCTGTTCTAGACCTTAAAACAATAATACACGGGTTAGTTGGAACCTACTTCAGCTTGAGCTCCCGGGTCAGCTCGTTCTGGGTCTGTTCCAGTTCTTGCCTCTCCTTGATGTGCTCCTCCTGCAGGTCGTGGATTTCGGCCTTCACAGCTTGCAGCTTAGAAAACAGCTGGAAGAGAGGAATACAGCTGTCGAGGGGGACATGCCCAAGGCTACTACCTCTGCGCAAAAGACCATGTGTGGGCAGTGGCTAGAATGCGGCATTGCAGGCAGAGCCTGCCCACAGCCTGGAGTTTGATCGTGACTGGCTCAAGCCTTCCGAGGTTGGTAAAATGAGGACCCAGATGGTTGGAGGCAATGTAAATATATACTGCTTAGAGAGGGCTGGAAAGCACTACGAAGAAATATATGTCTATTGTTCAACACACACACCCCCATCTCTCATCTACCTATCATCTATCTCTCATCTCTATCTATCGATCATCTATCACAGTGGTGGCGAACTTATGGCAGGGGTGCCAGAGGCGGCACTCAGAACCCTCTCTGTGGGCACGCGTGCCATTGCCCCAGTCCTAGGCCTTCAGCTGGGTTTTATAAAACCTTTTCGCTTTAGGCCTCCGCCGCCGTGTGCAAAAAAAAAAAAAAAAGGTTCAATCAATCAACCTTTTTTTCAACTTCTCGTGGGAAAAAAAAGATCTTGCAAAGTTGAAATTGATTGAACTTTTTAGTCCCACCCAGTCTGCCATTACCACTGCAGCCACGCCCACCCAATTGGCCATGCCCACCCAATGGGCCACGCCCACTTGGCCCTCGACAATGCATGTGGGTTTTGGGTTGCAGTTGGGCACTCAGTCTCTAAAAGGTTTGCCATCACTGATCTATCATCTGTATCTCTATATATTATCTATCTATAGCTATCTATCTCTCATTCCTCATCACCTATCATCTATCTATCCATCCAAATCTATCTACCTACCTATCTACCTATCCATCCATCCATCCATCTCTCATCTCTTATCACCTATCATTTCTCTATCTATCTATCTATCTATCTATCTATCTATCTATCTATCTATCTATCTATCTATCACAGCGGTTCTCAACGTTTGTGTGACGGCGACCCCCATCACACAAACATTATGCGCATGCGTGGTGCGGCGCCACCATGCGCGGTGCTCATGCGTGGCGGCGGCTCCACGCGGCGCACATGCGTGGTGCAGCCCCCACGCGTGGTGCGCATGCGCAGCACCACCCCCGGAGGCGCGCCGCCGCCCCCATGCGCATGCGCGGCAGCGCCCCCGGAGGGGAGAAAATGGCGGATCGCCGCCTTTGGCGACCCCCGAAAAATGGTCGATCGACCCCAAATGGGGTCGCGACCCATAGGTTGAGAACCGCTGATCTATCATCTCTATTATCTCTATCTATCATAGATGATAGATGAGCGGTGGAAGTGCGGTGGTTAGAATGGTGTATTTCAGGCAAACTCTGCCCACAGCCGGGAGTTCGATCCTGACCAGACCTCCTCCTCCTCCTCTTCTTTTCTTCTTTCTTTTCTTTTCCACACCACCCCCCTTCTAGCACTGATGATGCTACCTACTTGTGCAATGAAACATCTGCAAAAAAGCAGCCCAGCTCAGAGAGATCCAAGGTCCTCACAGCTTCCTCCTCCTCACAACCCCCCTAACAGTGATGATGTTCCCCAGTTGGGTAACGAAATGTCTGCAAGCAAATCACCAAACTCAGAGAGCACCAAGGAACCCATAATCCTCCTCCTCCTCCTCTCCACAACCTCCCTCCCTTCTAGCACTGATGATGTTCCCTAGTTGGGTCATGAAAGGTCTGCAAGAAAACAGACAAGCTCAGAGAGCACCAAGGACCCCACAGTTCTTCCTCCTCCTCCTCCTCCTCCTCGCAC